ATATATAAATATATAAATATATATACACTGTCTCTTATACACATCTAGATGTGTATAAGAGACAGACCACTGACTGAGGCTTGAAATAAAATTGGAGAGAAATTTTGGTTCATCACCATAAAACCTTTGGAAATGTTTTGACAACCTAACCTGATTAACTTAATTACTTTTTGATTTGGTGACTTGCACAGATTACTTGCTTACAAGCAAGGTGAATCCGGGTTGTGTGAAAATAGAACCGAGCTGAAACAAAAATAACAGGTCTCTTTTATTGAAGAAAACTGCTTTAATGCACACTCAAGTTGAATTGAACCTTTTGACGAGAACCAAATTGTCTTTTCCCTGAGATCATCCAGGTTTTTGAGGTTAATTTCAATTGAACAAAGTAATGTCACAGTACAAAACTTTCTCTCCCATGGTAAAAATTAAAAAGTTATTTTTATATATATAAATTATATATAAATATATATATATATATACTTAAATAGATATAAAATTAAAAAAATATAAAAAACTTAAACTTTATCTGTATTGATATGAATTCATCATAAATTGTAGTTTTGCATTTTATATGATATATTTTTTGTACAATTAACAATTTACTGAAATTATATTTGAGGAATGCATTGCTTAGCTGCATGCAATAATGCTTCTGGTTGATGTTATATTTTGTGAAACAATTAATATTAAGCCCTGCCCAGACTATCAAATTTTATTTGACAAAAACATGTGACATGCCTAAATATGGTCATGATGACATCACATCATTACCATATATAGGCACATCATGACTATATATGGGCATACAACAGTTTTTTGTCAAAGATAATCTGGACAGAGCTTTATGCATGGTTAATAATAATACTACATTGCTTGTTGATCTAATTCTACCCTTTTTACCCCTAAATTCTTCCTCCTACCTCCCAATCCATTCCTCAAAATTATGGAATTATGAAAAAAACTTGTTGTGTCCATTGATTTAATGTACGATTGCATGATAAAAATTCAATCATGAACTTATATTTCAATTTTCTTATATTCTTATGATAGCTGGCCGGTTGTCCCCTGGACATTTCTCCTGTGACATTTTCCCCTTCCACTAGGACAATTCACCCTGACTTTTGCTCCACCCCCCCACCCCCTTTATAAAATAAAACAAGAATTTAAATACAAGGAATACATTAAGATTGATATCATCTCTTTTATTAAATCTTTATTAAATCAATTAACAACAATATTTACATGGAAAATATTTATACGCAGTAGGCGGCAAATTATCTCAACAATATAAGAAATTAATTACTGAAAGTAAAAACTTACAAAGCTAAAATTTGTACATAATTATTTTTTATAAAAATAAAATACATTTGCTCTTTATGAATATTAATTTGTTATTATTAAATTAAATGCTTATTATTATTGTTGTTATTATCATTATCATTAAATTATGATATAACGTTATTGAAGACATGGATTATAATAGTTAAACATAAAAAGCAATATGAATTACATACATTAAGCTTACTTCATTTGCATATGCTCTTTTTAGTTACTATTTATTTTTTTAATATCAAATTAATTATAATATAACACATAACAGTATTGAGAACATGGAGGTATAATGGTTAAACGAACGTAGCAGCAGTTAATACTACTAGTGAACCCCCCCACCCGCCAATAATGATAATTTTGAATAAAAATAAAATTTTATTTTTGGCCACCCACATCCACGAAAAAATGGAAATTTTAGAAAAAATACAAGATTTTCCTTATTTTTATTACACTCGCCACTGCCTTGAAATCTCCAAAAATAAGATATGTATACTTCTTCGTAACTATATAAATTTTAAGCATTTAACCATCCCATTACTACACTGTTTACATTCAATTATAACATTTTATTTTGCAAAACTTGCTAATTATAAAACCAAAATTTTATTTTTATTTTTTATCCGCCCTCCTCTGACGATCAATTATATATCAGAAGATGTAAAGGGAGGGGGAAGTCTGTGGAAATTGTCCTGGGAGAAACAGTCCTGGAGGAAAATGTCCCGAGGAAGCCAGCCTAGAAAAGCATTGAAAAATTTTTCATATTTATTCTATCTCCTTCATTATCCCACATTTCCGTTGGATTTCATTTTTCTTCAGGAAAATTTTAAATTTTGAGGAAACATTTTTTATATCCCATGTCTTTTATATTGTCCTGTATCCTGTGGATTCCTTCAGGGTAATTTTGTGTCTGCTAAAGAATCATTCCATATATCCCATGTTTTCCTGTGTTTCTTAACAAGAATTCCTTTGGATTGCTTTTTGCTTAACAGGACAATTTATGTCTCCGCTTCGACATGCAATGCTGACATTATTATATGTGTGCACGCAGGGCCCTATAATGGTTTGATCGTTAGTGCTACTATCATCTACCCATCTAACTTTAATCTGGTAAATTCATACTGTTGAATAAATTGTCTGGTCCTATGTCTGTGTTAGTTATAACCTTAGCTTCAGCTGACTGCTAGATCTAATAATATGCAGTGCTGGCTTTGCAAATGGTATATGGCTGCAATGAAACTGTATTTTGGAGTGAGACCTACCAAGTTACTACAGACGATTAACTCGTGTGAAGTCTCAGGAGTAAGTGTGCTGCTTCCGCGTTTCGCAAGGAATGTAAGGAATATGTGCCCAGAGTAGCGCCGTGTAGATGCACTCACTTGTAGATGCAATGTTTTTATAATTGTTTAAAATTTCAAGAATTTGTGCAAAATAACTGTTGAGAGACAACGAAAGTGGCGATTATCAACTTCCTGAAAATTTACATATTTCTAAGCTTTGAACTAGCTATGAAATTTAAAGAACATCATGTCCTGGGAAAGCATCATATGGACACTCGTCTGAAGTAACACGCGCATATATTTGTACGTCTGTTGTAAATTTACTTCAGGCTGAAGGCCATACATCTGTTAGTTTGTGTAAAGCATCATGTGTGTATGTTTGTCTTGTGAAAGGGATGTCACCTATGATGAGAAGGGTAGTGATATATTCCGCTGTCGGAAATCCTTGGAGCATGTGCGTGCCTAAAAGAAAAAATATAAAAAAAACGTAAAACAACCTCATAAGATACCAGATGATGCTGATAATCAACAAAATACACACTCAAAAAATTGAAAATAAGAGTAAAAGAAACTGAACTGACATCACCACTCCATTTATCTGTATTTTTTTCAGGCCCCTAAAAAAATGAGTGCTTATTTAAAGCAATCATGTTTGGTGCTGTACTTATTCGATCATTTGCAGTCCTGTTCTATAGTTTTCATTAATTGTGAAGATGAGTAATATATAAATTGGCCGAAGATTTTAAAATATCATGCTTGAAATGTTGTCCCAAACCTTCCTTTACTAAACATTAACCTGCCCTGCATTTCCATATTGCTAACAATTAATGCCTAACAACTAAACACTACAAGAAAGTTCCAAACATATTAGTGTTTCTGATTTTAAAATCAATCATTCTAACAAAATTAATTTTCTTGCGCTACAGATTTAGAAAATCAGGACATCGTTTGGAGGAAATTCAACAATCTTTCACCAATATTTAAAGAAACAGCCGTTTAGATGAGCTTGTAAACCTTTCATCGATTGTTGAAGAAGACTGCCGTTTAGATGAACTTACCATCCTATCACCGATTGCTGAAGAAAACCACCGTGTAGGAATTTTATTGGTGATTAGTTCTAGATATTGCAATTCAATCTAGAGTTACATGAATATGTGGACAGCATTATACTTTACAACAGTTCAGGTTTACTGACATTTTAACAAAGTCTTTTTTAGGCCAGTGTTTTAATATTATTAATTTTCTTTTTGTTAAATCAAACCTTTTGACATTTCTTGCTGGATTATATTTAGAAACTACTTATGAGCTATTACATACACATCTATGTTTATATATTTTATATATGTATATTTTGTATGTGTATATTATATATATGTATATTATATATATGTAAATTATATTAGATATGTATATTATATATATATATATAAATGTATATGCTGAAACACATGGAACCAAAGTACAAGTGCTGAGATGTTCATAATATGCATGCAGAAAATGTTGCTTCAAATTAAATAATAATAGTTGACATGATTATTTAGTATTGTTTACAGGGTTACCACCAAATATTTACTTTAGAGTGCTAGCAACATATTTTATAATGCATTTTATCAATAGTTATATTTTTATTTTACTAATCGTGAAAACTTTTCTTTAGCAAGTTTTATGCTTCATATGTTTTTATGTCTATTTTCATTTCTAAACCATTATTTTATGTGGTTGGAGTGTGTCTTAAAATTTTAAAGAAGGTTATCAGGTTTCATTAGCAGAAACAAACCCACCCACAATTTCAGGACAATGTTTGCTAAAATTTGCGAAATCAGGAGTAGTTTATAATAATCAGTATATACAGAGACAGAATACGGTGCTAAATAAGCGATATCATGACATCAAGGATTTTTATCTGTTAGAAGTGTTTGATGACACTGCGTATAGAAATGAAAGAGAGTCCTATCTGCTTAAAAATGTGCTACACCCTTAGTTACGTCATTGAGGTGTGCCCTCTGTAATTTACTACTAAATACAGTAGAACCATTGCACTATCTGTTATGAGAATAAACAAACAAAACAAACCAAGGTGGTACATCTGTAGTATATAAAAGTTAAGTGGGGCTCAGTATCTGGCATTACTTTTTTTTATACTTTTTTTTAATGCCCAAAACAAGCAAACCAGGCTCTTCCCTTTCTATACCGTTTGATGACGTCCACTGATATAGTATGATGCTGTCATACCAGAATAAGTGGAAAGATAACAGATATTGGATGTAAATGTTATTGTCAAATCTAATTTTGAAAGCCTCAAATTTTTCCAAATTTGACATCATAAAACAATTAATTGATGATTAATAATTTATTGTTTCTTAGTTGCCATCAGCAGCATAATAATATAAAAATCAAAAAAAATCTCATCTTGTCTGTTTTATGCTCCTGCTGAAGAATATTGAAATTAATTTCTCAATTCAATATATAATGATTTATTTAACTTGTATGCTCTTCTGTGGACTTGGATTGCATTGAATTTTAATGTAATTTCTGAATACAATTTTTAATACTAACCCAATTGAAACATATAACCTTTCCTATTTTAGTTGAGAGGGTCGCTTTTTCAAAGAAATGTTGATTTCATTCAATTTTAATGTAATTTCTGGATACATTTTTTAGTACTAAACCCAATTGGAACAATTAACCTTTCTATCTTTTTTTTTTTCAGCTTTTTTTTTTAACAAGATATGTATGTGGAATTTCATTATAGATGTTTTGTGTCATTTGAACATAGGATGAATGTAAAACTAACCTTAGCTTTTTCAAATATATTTAACAGGATGTAAATTTTAAATAAATTTAATCGCAAGATGATATTTATGAAGTTGACCTTTGAACTTTGTTTTAGGATGTGAATGTAATATTTTAGTAATACTCAAGCAACTTGTAATAAAATATCATCACAACAAAAGCTATACACATAATAAGCAAACACTGTAACTGTATCAAGTGATGTAAAAATGAAGTATTTAGTTTTAGAAATATTGGTACTCGTGTATATTGAGTATTAATGAATATTATAGTATTATGAAAATACTGGTTATTATGTAAATTAGAGAGTTATTTATTCAAGAATTGTGATCATTGTAATTGTTGTTTAATTATCATCATTACATTTATTATAATTAATATTATAATTGTTGTTTGCTGCAATTACTAAACTTACTAAAAATTCATGTTTGCTGTCAAAAAATATTTTCTTGTTTTTTAACCCCTTTTCTACCTCATCTTATACTTATATTGTTTTTAGTTTCTTAATCATATCTTATATTTACTACTGGATTTACAGAATGATTATTTTATCATACAAACATTTAAGAGTAAATATTTTTATGAGAATCATACTGCCATTTGACAGTTAAAAACTCGAATACCGCCCTCAGATTTGATGGCTGAGTTATGATTCCAACACTAGAGGTCATATCCATGGTTTTCGATTTTCATTGCGAATTCACTATTTCGATTTCGTATTATTAATAGTAATCAAAAGATTTTGTGTGTGTTTTATTAATTAAACTTATTAATTGGCTTTAATCAAAATATTATCCTTTGCTTTGAAATCACTCCATATGAATACATTTATCGTTTTTAAAGTGTATTGATGGGGTGTATTATTCTTAGGTACAGTATCTTAGTCCCAAACGATTCTTTCTTCTGCTTGTAATATTTTCTTGCAGTTATCCTAGTTCAGGCTGAATTTTTTTTTTTTATAGTTAAATACGATATTTTATTTGGCGTTATTGTTTACAATGTAATATTTATGAATAACTTTTTTTTCTATAACCATATTCGTTGTCTGTGTTCTAGTGTTCTTCATATTTGTCCCGTGAAAGTCTTTCTCCTTGTAAATACTCTGTCTAATCGAAATTAGAACTAGAATTGTAATTAAAAGTTGTATTTACAAAATACAGGTGACGTAAACATAGTTCTCATATAACATTGATGTTATCGCCCATATTTTACCTTTTTTTTTAAATATAATGAAATAATGTGGACTGTTGCAATTATTGATAAATTATGTATGTATGTATCTTAAATAAATAAAAATAGACCTGTAGATATTGAATTTAAATGTTTTCACTTTCTAGGAGTAATGAAGTAAAATGCCAAGATTTTCTCGGTCCAAATGTTATTTCGCATGCCCTTATATGGCTTGAGTGAAAATTTTGTGAGTGAAGATTTTTTTTCAAACCTAAAATTTACAGACCATATCACGAAGGACCAAGAAAGATTTTGAACCTAATTGTATAATTATCTGGGTATTTTTTAATGCTTATTGAAACGGCATAAACCATAATTCCATATACTGTATGATTGGAATCTCATTGGTGCTTGATATTAATATACATAGGCCTACTGTTGATATAATATTTACTTTTTTTATTAATTGACTATAATATTGTAAACACCAGTCAGTACATTGGCAACGATTTGATTATTCGATTAACTTGGGAAACTAATAAAATAAATATGTACCGAGAATTTGAATTGTTTTTTTTTTCATTTTATGTAATCGTTTACTCTTGATACGAAAAGAGATTGCTTATGAAAGAGGGTTAAGCCAGGATTTGCCCGACGGGGTTTATGACTTCCGACGGGGTTTCCGATGTCTACCGACGAGAGCGTAAGTGGGCGTGTGGCTGGGCGTCGTAAAAATCTCTCGGAAGTCATCCGACTGTTTTTGGAAGAACGGCATAAACCATAATTCCATATACTGTATGATTGGAATCTCATTGGTGCTTGATATTAATATACATAGGCCTACTGTTGATATTATATTTACTTTTTTTTATTAATTGACTATAATATTGTAAACACCAGTCAGTACATTGGCAACGATTTGATTATTCGATTAACTTGGGAAACTAATAAAATAAATATGTACCGAGAATTGGAATTGTTTTTTTTTTCATTTTATGTAATCGTTTACTCTTGATACGAAAAGAGATTGCTTATGAAAGAGGGTTAAGCCAGGATTTGCCCGACGGGGTTTATGACTTCCGACGGGGTTTCCGATGTCTACCGACGAGAGCGTAAGTGGGCGTGTGGCTGGGCGTCGTAAAAATCTCTCGGAAGTCATCCAATTTAGGGAAAGGCTTAATTAATTGATTTTAGAGTCTAAAAATATGTAAAAAATAGAATGTTTTTCTTCTCTCCGGCGAAGTGTGTTTTTCCCCTGCCGGTGGGGACAGCTCGTGGGGGTCTTGGCCTCCTGCCAATCCCCCGCTCGCGCCACCCCATTAACAGGTGAAATTAAAAGCAAAGCTATATAACGACGGCATATGTGAAACATTTAAAATGAAGTAACCTCAAAGAGAATCAAAAGAACTTTTAGAATATCAATTACAGTGCGTTGCGAGTGCTTGAATTATGAGTTTTTACTTGTAAACTGTGTTTTTAAATTAATGTTCTTGCTGTGTGGCGCTATTGGTGGGTGGTTGTTGCGATCGCCTTCAATCGTTTTTTTCTAACGATTAAAAAAATATTCCGCGGTCTCATGCAACTTAATTTATTGCGCAGCGCGTAGTATAGGCCTACGTAATTTGTGAGTGATCTTGCTAAATAGATGTGAAGGCAATTTAAACAACCCTTTATAATAAACATCAGCTAATTGATGTTCAGGTTTAGCTTTCGAAATAAGAACATATTCATCATATCGCATACTCACGTCCTATCAAGATTAGGTTAGGCTAGGTTAAGAATGGCCTACATACAAGGGCTGCATTATCCCCCGGGTTGCTCGCCACAGTTGACTTGTGTTCATAATACCTGCTTATCTAAATGAATCGTTTACTCGTGACTATTAAACGATCTCCTAAACGAACGTAAATGCAATTCATTTGATGTAGCTTTATTTCGTTGAATGGCCTAACAAGTGATTGTCAAATTAACTGGCATCACGCGGAAGAATATAGCCGTCAGATTTGGATAATGAGTAGAATAGTTCCCGCGGGAGACGAAGAAAGGATCGGAGAAGTTGTCAGTCTGTAGGAAATTATCATAACGTTTTTAACTCCTCGTTTAGGATCAAGTGCTAGACCTAAATACTATACGCTGACTCTGATTTCTATGATATTATATAGGCTGGTCAATTAAACTGTTCTTTTACTATTAAATGGATAGGTTTTAGTATATTCCTCTCCACTTTGCAACCCCTCCTTTGGAACACCAGATGTGTATAAGAGACAGTATATATATATATATATATACATATGCATTCATTTTGAACGTTGAAGAGGAATCTGCGTTGTTCCGGTTTGTTTTTATTTTTATTTTCTTATGTGCATGACGTGTAGTGACAATTCGTTTCAATTAAACATTTTTAAAATGCTAATTTGATTTTTATTTCTCGTCTATGTGTCATAATGGGGAAATTGAGGGCGTCCAC